AAAAAAGGTTGAGAAGTTAAGAGGGTTGACATGTTGCGGGGTTGTTAACCAATGTCATAAAACAGTATGTATACTACTGTTTCGTAAGAAACCATTTGTTCTGTAAGCCTTCAGCTGAAGTACAATAATAAATAAATAAGTAAATAAAGTAGTGGAATTATAAAAAAAAGAAACTGAGACGTAGACTGACAAATTTCTCCGAGTACGTAGCAAATTTCACAAAGAGCACTGCCCAGTGTGGAATGTACCCAAGAACAGAAAAACAGGATGGAAGGAGACACAGTGCAGAAACAGTGATCACAAAATTGCACAAACCCTCTTCGTGACAAGACACAGGTCAACCACGGACTCACTTAAAGCTTACTTTGTGCAAAGAATTCAACTTTACCAAAAGTAATCTGGTGTTTGCCTTTGTATACTGAGAAGATAATCCTAAAACTCTGGTGCTCTTGAGTAATGGAGGTACCTTTATTGTGCAAATGAATGGGGGCTGGCCAGGCCATGTGGGCTACCAGGTAGCCTCAGAAAGGAAGAGGAACTTGATTCAGTTATGCTAAGGCTAGCCAAATGGTTAATTTTCTGCTGCGTATATCCTCTTTTCTATTTAAAATCTCAATATAACTAGCTGGCAATGAGACCTCCTATTTTTCTGAATGGAGCCCTGGTGGCGCAGTGGTTGAGCGTTCAGCTGCTAACAAAAGATCGGCAGTTTGAATCCATCATCCATTCCTTCGAAACCCTATGGGACAGTTCTACTCTGTCCTATGGGGTTGCTATGAGTTAGATCGACTTGACGGCAATGTTTTTTTTTTTTTTTACCTGAACAGAGGGGTCTCCCTGGATGCATACAGATGAACTGCTGGAATAAACCTGATATACTTGAATTTCTTTTGTGCTTCGATTCTTTTGACACTGGGATATGTCAGACCTTCCCTTTCAAAAGAGCAACAGTAGTAGAAATCCTTGTTTAGCGCATAAGTGAAATTTTTTCTCAAGAAAATAAATTTTACACATAGCTGTTAAATTTGAAAGTGTTTCATTTATTCATTTAATAAATATTTGTTGATCTCCAAACATAAGAGCAGCAAGGAGTTAGGCACTGGAGATACAGTCGGGAACAAGGCAAGGAAGATGTCTTCTTGGAGCTTACATTCTATCTGGGTCACCCCAGGGGCTGGGCTGGATGAGCAATGTATAAGCAAATAAATAAACATAACTTGGATTATAGTAAGTGCAGTGAAGGGCATAAAAGAGGAAGGCACGAGAGAGTACCAACCAGTGTGCGTGTTGGGTGTGAGGGGAAGGAGAGGCCATGGAGGAGACTTCAGATATGGCCTCCAGGGATAGTTTCTCTGATAAATGAGCTGAGTTGGAGGAAAGAAGCCAATCAATAAGGTATGGCCAAACCTACATGTGTGCCTTTTAAAATCCTTTTAAAATAACTTTAAATCTCATTTAAAATGAAACTCATTTCTCTTTTCCTCCAAAGCTTAGCCTTTTAGAATAGTAGTGAGCACTCAGTCTATGTCCCTGTCTTTTAGTATGAACAAGTTTCTCCCTTAACTACTTTATTAAAATTTCCGTGACACGAATCAAAAACACTGGAAATAACAAATGTTGGAGGGGCTGCGGGGAGATCGGAACTCTTATGCACTGCTGGTGGGAATGCAAAATGATA